CACACAGCAGAGAAGACGGGCACATGAATGTTCAATACAGTATTATTTATAGCGCTGTGAAGATGGAAACAACCTAAATGTCCGTTAACAAGATAACTGTGATGTACTTATACTAGTACAATACATACCAACAGATACAGTTAGATGAATAACCTAGATTTAAATATATCAACATGGATAAATCCAGACAATAAATCCAGAAAATGCAAGTTCAAGAAGAATGCATTCAATATGGTATAGATCAAATTTCAAGCAACACAAAATATTAATTACTTAGAGGTTACAGTAAGGAGTATAAAGATATGCATAGCAATGATAAACACCATATTCAGGAGAATGCTACTTCTGGGGAGGGAGGGAAGAGAATGGGATTAGAGAGAAAAACAAAGGAAACTTCAAATGTATGTCACATTCTATCTCAATAATAAATGAGAGCAGTGGACCTGATAAAATTACCATTTGCCAGATTTGGATGGGGGGAACATGGGGGTAGGGGTTCCCATATGGGGCAGCTCCCGTCACCCTGGACTGGCTAGAACAAGACTGCACAGCCCAGCATCTTTCAGCAGCATCCAGAACCGAAAAAAAAGGAACAGAGCTCCTGATGGACAGGAGCCTGGGATTTCTGGAAGGGCAGCTCCTCCCTGCCATTCTCTGGCCTCAGAAAGGGCTGTGGCACCCAGGCAGGTGCTGCAAGGGTAAGTGTATTGAAAACATTCTTGTTTTCACCCAGGCAAGTGCCCTTTGGGGCAAACTGGCAGTCTGCCTGGGTAGAGCTGAATTAAGGTGGACCCTGCCTGGCTCTACTGTTAACACAGTGAGACCTTGACTCCCTGCGGGGAGAGCTGTCCAAAAAGCCACATTTTTAAGAAAGTCGGGAGTTTCAAAAGCCTAGGGTCCTAAAGCTACCAGCATGCACGCGAGTCTCTCAGAAGGTCATCTCACCCCCAAGTCTTAGCGGAGTGAACCTTCTGAGTTTCTGAGTTTCCTATCTGTGGATGGGGTAACACCACTCATTTCACCTTGTTGAGAGGATTAGTGATATTATTACCTAAGTATCAACATTTTTTAAATTTTTTTGTTAATCCTCAGCCGAGAAAGAGTGGAAAGGAGAGGAAGTTGACAAAGAGAAAGAAACATCGATGTGAGAGGGACACATTGCTTGGTTGCCTCCCACATGTGCCCTGACCAGAGCTGGGGATGGAGCCTGCAACCGTGGTACGTGCCCTTGACCAGGAATAGAACTCGAGACCCTTTAGTCTGCAGGCAGATGCTCTAACCACTAAACTAAATCAGCTAGGGTTCAACTTTTTTAAAATATTTTTTTATTGATTTCAGAGAGGAAGGGAGAGGGAGAGAGAAAAAACATCAATGATGAGAGAGAATCATTGATCAGCTGTCTCCTACTGGGGACTGAGCCTGAAACTGGGGCATATGCCCAGGAATCGAACCGTGACTTCCTGGTTCATACCTCAATGCTCAACCACTGAGCCACACAGGTCGGGCAATATCAACATTTTTAAAAATTTTAGTCAATCTGATTGGGAATCTTTTAAAAACATGCACTCCACCTCCTTCCTAAGCAGGACCAAGGGATATAATTTAACCTTTTCTTGATGACTCAGGGTCACAATTACCAGCAAAGCATCAATTACCTTTTTTTAAAAATTAAATTTATTGGGTGACATTGGTTAATAAGATTATATGTTTCAAGTACATGACACACGATCTGTATATGGCATTGTGTGCTCACCACCCAGTCAAATCATCTTCCATCACCAGATATTTGACCCCCTTTACCCTTTACTACTCCCTCACCCTTTTCCCCTCTGGTAACCGCCATTCTGTTGTCTGTGTCTGAGTTTCAGTTTTATATCTCCCATATGAGTGAAATCCTATAGTTCTTAGCTTTTTCTGACTGATTTCTTTCACTTAGCATGATACTCTCAAGGTCGGTCCACATGATCGCATCAATTATCAAAATGAGGATTTCCCACAAGGGCCCAGGAGTGCCAAGCCATTCCTCCTAAATAAATGACTCCCGACTCTGGCATTATTAGGACTGCCTTTTTATAGCCTTTGATCTCCATCCACACTTACTCTCAACGCTTAGTTGCACTGTGGTCATTTTTCCTCTCTTTACACTCTTCTTTGCTGCTTCCTTTCAGCTGTGGGCTTGGAAATAGGATGACACAGCTTATGTACAAAAGTTAAACAGGGTCTGAGGGGCTGATGTGGAAAGAAATGTAGTAACTTGAGTCCTGGCTGACCTGAGACCTACCTGGCTTTATGCGGGTAAGTATGGCTGCTGGGTGGCCAGGTCCTGAATAAGGTGGGAGAGACGTTATGCATTTTATGGGACATGTGATGGGATGAACTATATTCAAAACTATTAAGCACATCCTGCAGTCTGCTTGGGGGCAAAATGCAGCAGGAGTGGGAGGACTGGTCCCTTTCGCTTTTCCAGGCTGACCACAGGTTACCTTCTTAGAATCTTCTATCCTGGGCACTTTCAGACAGGAAGAGAACATTTGTGAAGACTGTGAAAGTCTTTCATTCCTAAGGTTTCATCACCCAGTAAGGTTTTAGTTATTCGACAAACCATGTATTGGAATCCAGCAAGCACAGGGGATGGAGCAATGTGCAGGATGCATAGAGGCTGCTTGAATACTGGTTCCCTTTTCCTTTCAATAACCACTTGCCATCTATTGCTCAAGAACCTCTGATTCACACACACACACACACACACACACACACACACACACACGAGTCTCAAAGCCTGGTAGTACCTGCAGAACCCACCTCTCCTCTTGGGATACTATTACCACAGTAAAACTGACTTCCTACTCTTGCATCCGCTCACTCTCCACCAGACCCTAACAGTAATCAAAGCCACCCTCCTCAAACTGTTTCCCAAAGGCTCATGCACAGCCACCATCGTGTCCTGTATTCAGCCCCAGTCAGGTCAGCACAGAACAGAAAATCCATTCTTTGAGCTTAAACCAAAGCTCCCTCCCCAGAGGCCAGCAAAAGGCTCCAAAAGCCCCTCTCTCCCTTAGCTTGCATTTCCAGATAGCAACAGCCCATAGGGGCTGGGCTTGACATCCCCCCATCTTTCTCCC